GGAAGGGCGGTGGGAGGTAAAAGTGACCCTCTGAGCATGGCCAGGAGAGAGTGGGAGGGTGTGCCAGGCAGAGGGGATGGGGGGCGTGGGGAGGGGTTAGATGGGTGGGTGAATGGGTAGATGGTGGATGGGTGGGTGAATGGAGGGATGGAGGGATGGAGGGAGAGAGAAAGGATGGTTGGGTGGATGAATAAATGGATGGAGGGGAGGGATGGAGAATAAAGGATGGGTGGGTGGGTGGAAGGGTGGGTGGAAGGAAGGATGGCTGGTGAATGGTGGGTGCAGAGATACAGCTGTGTCCGATTAAGCATCCTCTTCGCACACTTCTCCCGCACCCAGCCTCACACCTGGCACCAGCAGTCTCGTCCAGGAGCTTCAGCCATGCCCTCCACGAAGAGACCCACCCAGAAAGGATTCAGGCCGCTCCTGGGCTGGAAGAGGAGAAGCAATTCCAAGGCACCTTCTCAGGCAGCGCCCCTGGGAGTAAGGAGGCCCCACCGCCCTCTCTCCGAGGCCCCTGCAGTCTCCCACACAGCCCCCCAGAGCCCCGCGGGGGTGGGTGGCAGGGCTCAGGCAGGGGAAGAACCGAGGACGCGGAGCGGGGCTAATTGGAAGCCTCTCCCGGGGCAGCTCCGGGGGTCCTGGGCAGCACCTCGGAGAGCCGAGCTTCGTTAGCAAGGCCCGCGCTGGAATGCTGGAAAAAAAGAAAACTTTCTGGACCCGTCAGAGCCGTCAGAGGAGAAGTCAGGCGTGAGCGGCTTCCTCCCCCTCTGCGGGCGGGAGCAGGGGGGACCCGCGGCCCGGGGTGGGGGCCACTGGCTGGGGAGCCTCGCTGAGGGTCACGCTCCCTCCGTGTGCATTAGACACAGAAATCCCGGCGGACAGAGTGCGCGTGGCTCCGTTCGGAGAAAGAGAAGCCGGCGGGGAGGTGGGGGGCTGCCCGGCGCTCCCAGCCCTCCTGCGGGGCACCCGCGGCCTCACGGCAGGCGGACCCCAGCCGAGGGAGCGAGACAGCGCCGGGACCGCGCTGTAGGTGCGGGAGGGCACAGACGGGTCCCGGCCAAACCAAACCCGAGCCTCTCCGCCTGCTAGGGGGGCCAGCGCGTCCCAGGCTCCGGAGACTGTCCCGGACTGAGCACCGCCAGTCCCGGGTTCCGGGAGTGTCTCAGGGCTGGGCGGCCAGGAGGGCTGAGGGCCTCCGTGGGACCTTGAGGCAGCACCCTGCCGTCCTTGGGACTTCAATTTGCCCCCAAGGGAATCAGGGGACTGGACTCCATCGCTGGCTTTCAAAATCCCTCTTCAGAGAAAGCGGTTTGTGGTTTGTCTGCTTGCTGAAACGGGAAGTGCACGATCTCCCTTATGGGTGGGATCTAAACGTTGAGGCCATGGATGCATTGGGCAGAGGGTGGTCACCAGGGGCGGGAGAGGGGAGATGTGGGCCAGAGGTTACGGTTATGCAAGGAGGTGAAGTCCAGGGCCCTAACGCACAGCACACTGCGGTGAATGCAGGTGTGCCGCAGGCTGCAGGTTTGCCGAGGGCAGATTCCTGGTGCTCTGATCACACACGCAGGAAACGGCAACTATGTGAGAGCGCCTGTTAAGCAGCCCGACGGTAGGAACCATTCCTCTGTGTATGCGCATCAAATCATCAGGCTGGACTCCTTCAACACATACCAAAAATTAGATTTAAAAGAATTAAAGAGGACCTACATCAATGGAAGTATGCTGTGAATTTCATTAGGCAATAATTTACCGACATTATAGATTCTGTGCCACCCCAGCCACACGTGTACATCTAATTCGATCAGGCAAGCAGGACGGGCAGGGGGCTCTCCCGACGCCGGCCTCCCGGTCTGCAGCGGCTCTCGCACTGCAGAGCCCCGCGGGAAATGCTCAGGCTTCCTTGGCCCGGAAGCATCACTCTACATGGCCGTTGGCGTCTTCCTCCCTAAAACCTTTTCCTTGCCCTCGGGGCCCCCGCACTGCCAGCCCCCGGGGTCTTCAGGTGCCTTTGATGCACGGGACGGCGGACGCGACGGGTCCCAGGAGCAGTCCCCGTTCACCATGACCGGCATATTCTTAACGAAACAAAAGAGAAGAGCCTGGAATAAAACTTCAAAGCCGCGACGTGCCTTGTCGCAGGGGATTTGTCCCTGGGGGCACGCCCTTCCCTCCCCACTGTAGGGGAGGCACAGGGAGGCTGCACAGGGAGGCTGCACAGTGGAGCCGGGAGTCCGTGGAGTCAAGACGGGAACCTGGGACGGAGGCCGTGCAAGGGCGGGGCCCCTGGGCACCCGGGGACCCGGCGCGGCCTCGCCCACGTGGGGCCTGTGCTGCCAGGGTCAAAGGCTGCGTCGCGGGAGAGCCAGACGGGCGGCACCCCGGGCCTCGCGCGCCGTCCCCACGGCAGCCTTCACCTCCTCCGCCCCCCGCCCACTGGGCCCTGGCCCCGGGGCGGCCGGGGGCCGGCAAGCGATACTCCTCGGAGACTCACCTCCCTTCTCACGCGACAAAACTGCATTCGGCAAAATGTGTCCAAGTGAAGTGTATTCCTTGCCCTTCCCGGAGCCCGCCGGCCGGGCTTGTTCCCAGGACGGGGGCCCAAAACTGCACCACGAGGGCCCGAGGGCCCGAGCACCCCAGCCCGGCTCAGAACGACCTCTTGACCTCCCTCTCCCTCAAATCTTCCACAGGAATCTCCTTTTTTTCCCCCTATTTTTTAAGGGAAAGGCTTCGGGCAGGTTTTAGCCTTCTTTCTGCGATGCATCAGTGCCCCCCAGTGATCCGGGAAGCTTGACACACCCCCTCGGCTGAGAAATAGGCCTGCGTGTATCTTTGTGCTGTCTTTGGAGGAGACTGAACAACAAAATTATGTTTATCATGGCTTACCTTTGGCCTTTTTTTTTTTTAGGAGTAAGAATTACTGGTGGCTTTCCTAATTATACTTAGGGCTTGGGGCTCACATTGATCCCGACTGTCTTGTCACTTGTCTCTGCGCCCCAGCCACCCGCCCCACCCCACTGCCCCCGCGAGATTCCTGGATGGTTAGTTTCATGTGTTGACTTGGCCAGGCTTAGGTGCCCAGTGATTGAATTAGTGCTAATTCAGGCGTTTCGGTGAAGGTGTTTTATAGATGTCTAGATATTTTGTGAACTTCTACAATCCTTTTGCTTTAAGTAAAGATTGCCTTTGACATTGTAGACGGTTCTCATCCGACCTCGTCCAAGTTAAAGGCCTTGAGAGCAAAAACAGGTTTCGCAGAGATGAAATGCTCAGGACTGCACACAGCATCTACTCCTGCCTGAGTTCCCAGGCTGTTGCCATCCTACAGATGCGAGACCTACCACTTCCCTCGACCGTGGAAGCCGATTCCTTAAAATCTCAGTGGAACAGTAGATGAGAGATGACAGATAGATGTAAATAGATGGATAGATACAGATGATAAATACAAATATATACATACTGGTAGAGAGAGAGAGGTAACTATGTATTATACCTCTGTCTACACTAGTGAGTCTATTTCTCCGGAGAACCCTGACTGAAATACCTCCCCATTCTATTTGTCACCCATTTTTAATCTGGGAAAAGCCAGATGTTTACAGAAACATCGTTCATCACAGCGAGAATCTAGAAATCACACAAATGTTCTCCAATTGACGATTAGCTACATAAGGCACACTTTATACACGTACCAACCTTGGACTTCTTTTATCAACAAAGAATAGAGAGATTCAAGTCCCACTTGGGACTGTATTGCAACATGATAATAACTACATGTGAAAGCACTGACCCTGACATAACAGGTCTGGAAACTACATCAGTTGAGGAGTCATTGAGAGATCTCTGCACATTTTATCGAAGAGGAGTGTATGCAATTATACATGCGCGTGTGTGAGCCCAGACAGAATCTGATTCGTCATATTTGTGTGTGTGTGTGTGTGTGTGTGTGTGTGTGTGTGTGTGTGTGTGTGAGAGGGGCAGATCACAAACATGACCCCAATTTTCCGCGCCACCTTGAACGTGCCTGCTGTGCAGTGTGTCCGTTTGCCCACTACTTGAATCTGGATGGAACCTGCAGTCCGCTCTGGCCAGGTGGCTGCCATGCAAGTGACCAACAGTGTATCCGTTTGTCCACTCCTTGAATCTGGACGGAACCTGCAGTCCGCTCTGGCCAGGTGGCTGCCATGCAAATGACCAAGCAGAGCCGAGGATGCAAGTGGCATTGCAGCGCCGGCGAACTCCCTCGGGACCTCCCCCAGCAGCCACGTGAAGAAGCCCAAGGCTGGCCTGTTGGAGGGTGAGCCCGTCCCAGCTGGCCCAGCCGCTGACCACAGATCCCCGAGTGGGCCCAGCCCACACGACAACTGCCCAGCTGAACCAGCCCAAGTTGCCTTCCATATTCGCATGTCTCCCTGCTTTCTCAATTATTTAAAAATGATCTTGTGCCATTTTACTAATGGTCAAGGAAGTAATTTATGAAGGCTGGCAGAATTCCCTCCTAGAAAAAGCTTTAAAAAATGGCTGGCCAACAGGAAATCCTATGTGCACGTTCACCGTCACGATCATCTGCCCATGTCAGTGGATCTGTCGTCTTCTTTGCTTTGACAGGAATTAGGTCAAAGCCCTGAGACACGCCTTCCACGGCCTCACGGCCAACCGTGGGCTGGAAACCGCAGCTCCCACCCTTTCTGAGCTGTGTGGCCTGGTGCACGTGCCAGCCTCTCGGATCCTCGGATTCCTTTGCTTTCACGATTCCGGACGAGGAGTCCCGCCCCAGCACTGGCCCCGCCCGCCACCCTGCGCCCCGGCCCTGGTGGGCGGGGATCAGGGCAGATACGCCCGAGTCCTGCCCCGGCCGCCCTGCCCGCTTTGGAGGCGGAGGGGACCCGTGGGCCCCACTGCTCCAGACGCAAGGCCCTCTGGGAATTGTAGTTTCGGTGACCCAGGCGCAGCACCTTCTGGGAGTGGTAGTTTTCAGGAGCCCCGCGGGGCCGCCTCTGGGTGCGCATGCGCAGTCCGCGCCGGCCTGGCTCTGGTCCCGGTCCGCGGTGGTCGCCGCCCTAACGTGTGTGACCAAAACGTCCCCGCCTTCCCGGAACGAGGGGTCACGGGTGGGCCAAAGACCCAGGAGAATCTGACCCGAACCCACCAGGCTCGGGGGGTGGAGTCGCCGAAGGCGTTCCGAGCTCGTCGCGGGGTGTATGGGCGCCGGTGAGGGGCTGCGCACGCGCGTGGCCGGTTCTGAGTGTGGCCGTGACTCCGGCGGTGTGTGCGTGGGGCCCCGCGCGGACCCCGGCGGCGTGCGCCCTTCTCGGGCGTGTGTCTGTGCACTGGGACAGCTCTGCCCATGTGTGACTTTGGGCAGGTGTGGAACTTGCCTTCCTGGGTGGGAGGTGTGCGATTGCACGTGTGTGTCCGGGTGTGCAGCGCATAGAATGTTCCGGTGGGTGTGTCTGCCAGCGTGGAGCTGGGCGGCCTGGGTGTTACTCTGCATGTGGGGCTCTGCAGTCTTCACAGCATGTGTTTCTGTGCACGGGGAGGCCCTGCACGGGTGTGACTTAGGGCGCTTGTGAAGCTCTGCCCACCAGGTACACTGCGTGTGTCCTGGTGGCCAGTGCGTGGCCTGCCTGTGGAGCAAGGCGGCGTGTGTGATCTGTGTGACTCTGTGTGCGTGTTATGTGATATGTATCTGCACCTGAAAGTGTCTGTGACTCCCCTTTGGCTGCCTGTTTGTGTAATAATCCCGGGTTAACACCCCAGCCCACTTATCCTTCCCCCACGCCGAGGAAACAGCCTGCAGAGGGGAAGCCACCCTGCTGCGTTGGCCCCAGCATCTCCCTACACAGGCCTGTTTCTTTTTCCCACCGATGCCTCTGGACCATCTGAGGTGTGATGGCCAGAGCAGAAGCTCCAACCTGAGTGGCATGGACCAGACCTGATGCTCCCAAGACCACAAGGTGGGTACTGCCACCCGTCCTGGGGACCCAGGTGCGGGCCCTGGCCTTGCCACCTCTGGGATCCTCAGTGAGGAATAAATGAGCTAGTGGGTAGCAAGAGTTTAAAGGGTGCTGGACACACTGCTCTGTGCTCAACAAGGGCTTATTATTATTGTCACCATAATAATATCCCCAAGATGGCTTTAGAGTGGCCAAGACCAGCCCCTCTCAGACGTTCCTGTGCCCGTGAGTCCCTTGGAGCTCTTGTTGCCTGAGCCCAGCATTTGTCACAGGCGAGGCTGCAGGGTGGGACGGTGGACCTTTGCCACATATGTTGATAGTCCCTAGGAAGCAAAGGCTTCTTTTCACTGTTTTCAGACCTAAACGGCAGCATACCTTACCTAATGCATTCTTCAGCGCCATGAATTTGGGAGCTGAGCTGGTGCCGTAGCTCATGGTCCTTCCTATTTGTGCCGTGAGATGCTCCATCGTGTGGATATACCCCGTTTCTTTCCACTCCCTTGTTAATGGGCAGTTGGACTGTTTTCTAGTGCTTGGCTGTCAGTGTCTTGGACAGGCCTCCTGGCACACATGTGTGCATGTTCCTCTTGCTCACAATCCAGAAAATGGAATAACTGGGCTTCAGAGGAAGTATGCTTCCAGCTTTACCAGAAAACGCCCTTGGGTTTCCGGTGCGTGCCCCCACCAGCAGTGCCTTTCTCATGGAATTTGGGAGCTGCTTTTCCCCTGGGCCTGGAGTGGACTGGTTTTTCTCTGGCAAAGAAAACTGTCTCTCTTCAGTGCATGTCTGCTCAGGCAGCTATAACAAAGTACCTAACCGACAGAAGTTAATGTCCTCACAGTTCTGGAAGCTGGACAGCCAAGGTCAGGGAGCCACACAGCTGGGGTCCCGGTGACAGCTGTCTCCTGGCTCTGGCCTTACAGGGTGGGGAGATGGAGCTCGGATGTCTTATTCTTTTCTCATAAGGGCACTGATCCTTTAGGGGGGGCCCTCGCGACCATGTAAACCTACTCCCCCTCCAAACACCATCATGTTGGGGGTTAAGGCTTTGAAGTATAATTTGGGGGGGACACATTTCGGTCCGTAGTATCAGGTCACAAAACTATTTTAGAGCTGAAGGATTCATGCTTTTGTAGGAATCTTTTAAAATTATTCTCGGTCCCATTGAGTCGGAGTCTCAGCTAGAGGCCATTTTGCCCCCAAGAGACCCTTGGCCCTGTCTGAAGACACTGTGATTGTCACGCTGGGTGCAGGGCTGAAGCATGCTCCTGCCCCCAGGGCATGGAGGCCAGGGATGCCTTTACACATGCCGCAGGGCACAGGATGCCCCACAACAAATGATCTGATCCAAACCACCAGTCGTGGGAGGCTGAGGGACCCTGTGCTAAGCCATTTCCAGCCCAGGACCAAAGACCAACCTCACTGAGTTCTTTCTCTTCCTTTCTTTCAGATCGCACGCTGCAGATGTGAAATCGAGGCAGCCCCTGGAGGAGCAGGAATGGAAGCACCCTTGGGGGTCTCCGCCCCCCAGGGTCCCGAGCTGGAAGAGACCTGGAAACACAGGGGTCAGTCCAGGGACCCGCAGGAAAACCAGGAAAGCTGTTTGAAGCAAGAGGCTGTGGCCCCTGAATCAGACCCAGTCAGGGACAGCGTGGAGCATGGCGAACTCCGAGGAGCCCCAGGATGCCAGTCGCGGCCTGCGGCTCCCCCCACGCAGGGCAGGCCCCAGAGGCGCAGTGTGCCCACCAAGCGCCCTGCATCAAAGTGTGCGGACGCCCCCGGGGAGGAGCCGAGTGGCGGCCCCAGGAAGCCATGGAGGTGTGAGGCCTGCGGCAAGGCCTTCAGCTACTGCTCCGCATTCATCCTGCACCAGAGGACGCACACCGGGGAGAAGCCGTTTGCCTGCGCCGACTGCGGCAGGGCCTTCAGCCAGAGCGTGCACCTGACGCTGCACCGGCGCACGCACACCGGCGAGCGGCCCTACGCCTGCCCCGAGTGCGGCAAGGCCTTCAGCCAGGGCTCCTACCTGGCGTCGCACTGGCGCACGCACACGGGCGAGCGGCCGCACCGCTGCGCTGACTGCGGCAAGGCCTTCGCGCGCCCCACACACCTGGCGCAGCACCGGCGCGTGCACACAGGCGAGCGGCCCTTCGCGTGCAGCCAGTGCGCCAAGGCCTTCCGCAACCGCTCATCCTTGCTGGAGCACCAGCGCATCCACACGGGCGAGAAGCCGTTCGCGTGCACGCGGTGCGACAAGGCCTTCCGCTTTTCGTCGGCGCTCATCCGCCACCAGCGCACGCACACGGCCGAGCGGCCCTACACGTGCGGCCAGTGCGCCAAGGCCTTCACGCAGATCGCGCACCTCGCGCAGCACCTGCGCGTGCACACGGGCGAGAAGCCCTACACGTGCCCCGAGTGCGGCGCACCCTTCAGCCAGAGCGCCTCGCTGGCCGAGCACCGGCGCATCCACACGGGCGAGAAGCCGTACACGTGCGCGCAGTGCGGCAAGGCCTTCACGCAGGTCTCGCACCTGAGTCAGCACCAGCGCGTGCACACGGGCGAGCGGCCCTATGCGTGCCAGGACTGCGGCCGCGCCTTCAGCAACCGCTCCCACCTGGTGCAGCACCACCTGGTGCACACGGGCGCCAAGCCCTACAAGTGCCTGGAGTGCGGGGCCGCCTTCAGCCACGTGTCCTCGCTCATCGAGCACCAGAAGATCCACACGGGCGAGAAGCCCTACCGCTGCGCCGAGTGCGGCAAGGCCTTCAGCCAGGGCTCGTCCCTCACGCTGCACCGGCGCACGCACACGGGCGAGCGGCCCTATGCCTGCCCCGAGTGCGGCAAGGCCTTCAGCAACCGCTCCTACCTGATCCAGCACCACATCGTGCACACGG